CACCCTACTCCTTGAGCCACGGGCGCTGCCCTTCACTAACTCCTCTTTTATGGAAAAATGTCTTTATTCTCCAACTATATTTCTGGGTGAACAGAAATACAAATGCTTGTGGCTCCCGTGGGCCAGGTCAGTGGTTCAGGGTTCTTTGTCTTTATTTCACGAGCAGGGCTGCCCCTTAATTTCTTGGCCTTTGCCACGGTGTTGATTCTAAGTTCTCTAGCTTGGTGTAAACTGTGGAAATTTTTGTCCTCACATGGATTCTAAAGCCCCAGTGTTCTAGGCTGCAGGGCCCAATGACTGGGACAAATCTTCTCTGGAACCTGGAGACATCACTTCTGCCTTTCCATTCTGAGATTCTGTTTGGCGACCTGACAGTTTTCTTGCCTTTTGCTCATGGTCAAGTGTCTATTGTGTTTTAATGTAATACTTGAATTACCATTTCTAGGTACTCATGGTGGAAAGGAAGCTCATAAGAATCAGTATAGTCTATCATTATGTCATAACCCAAATAACATTCCAAAATCATTTTCCTGCTCATACATTATATCTTAATTACATGCCATAACTTCTATGCTAAAATATTTTCTTAAGATCTTTACTCTGTGGGATTTAAGAATTTCAGTTATGGAACTGAATTCAGAACTGGACCATTCCTGGACATTCTAAGACCTAACTGTACCTTTAATTCTATGCTAGAGGAAGACTCATGCAGTTAAGAGTTACTGCAGTGAAACCCTTTGACCTTCCACCATGTTCACAGATAATGGGTGTTTTCATCACTGAAACAGGATGATTAAGAAGAGGGCCATAAAAGTACTCATTAAAAAGTTGAGGACAGAAAACTAGTCAGAGCAAAACACTCTGGTTAGAGTAGCAGAGAATAATTCTATCCCGAGGTTTGGAATCGGGAATCCATTCGAAGGCTCCAGCAAGCGGAGTTGCAGTTATAGGAGATGATCACCTGTCAGCAACCGAGAAGTGTTAGGGAAGTGGCAAGGAGGAAGCAGGGTGGTAGCTGTGGTAGGGGTTACCAGAGTGTCCATCTCTGTCCTGTCCTGTCATCTCCTGACGTTTATCCTTTTGGTTGAACCCAAGAGAAGCTAGTGAATCAAGGAGTCCAGTTGATGCAGATATAATAGGCAATATTTCTTGTCTCCTGCTCTTGTATCTGATGGCAGCACTTGCTAGGAGACCCTGGGGTTCTCTAACAGGAAGAACACTGGAAACTTACAATGTCCCAAGCTGCCACTGGGAGCAGAAAACAGGACCCTATGACTTTTTTTG